CAGGTCTTAAGGACAAAAAGGCCTGGATGACTTGTAATATTTTCTTCTGAATTCAGACAAAACAGAAGCATTTGGCCCGAAGCACCTCAGAAACCCACCATCTAACCAGATCACTGCTCTGGACGGCACTCTCCATTTATACTGATATAAATATATAGATATGTAATTTAACTCACACATGAAACAAGCCCTAAAACTTTTGTCAAAATTAGGAACATCCCATCTCAGAGTGATGCTTGATACCTCGTCAAAGCATTTGTCACCTCTAGACTGGACTGTTTCTGTTCATCAGAACCCACAGCTGATCCAGAATGCTGTAGCCAGAGTTCTGACCGGAGGCAGCTGAAGAGATTTCTACCATATTAGCTTCTCATAATGCATTCAAAGGAGAATTTAAAAAACCTCACACACAAAGCTGTTAATGATTAAACTCCAGAACGCTTCACTCTCACAGTGCAGGTTAACTTTTGGTTCCTGGAGTTTTTAAAAAGCAGAATGGGAGGCAGACTTCTCTATTTTTAAGATGAGGCTCCTAGCTAGTGTTGACTCTAAGCTATCCCTTAATTTTGTTGCTGTAGAACTCTTTTATATGGCACCACTGCATGTCAATAAATTAGTTAATTAAATGAACCCTGCGGCTTAAATAGTGATGCGGGTAATTTATGGATATTTACGATTTTGCCTCGAGACAAAAGTGACATTGAGAGCGACAACAACAGAGACTGAGGAAGTGACGAAGTGATTCTGAGGCCTCCGACACTGAAGAAGACGACTTTAGTGGTTTCATTGTGCAGGAGGAAGATGAAGATAGCGATCAGTGACTTTTCCTGGTAGGCTGCTGGAGTTTTTATTTCTTTAACCAGCCGTGTTACAGACACTGTTCAGAAAAAAGCATCTACAGTACGTATTTAATTAAAAGTTTAAAAAATCTTTCTGTGTAAATATCTCGTTACAACGTGGACACCTGCGGTTTTTGGGTGCTGCTTATATTCAGGTGTGCTCAATAGTCCGAAATGTTATACGGTAATATAACAGTTCCTCTCATCACCAAACCGCCCAGAGTCTGCTGCTCCCTCATGTGTTCTCCGTCTCTTTCTTTATCCTTTTTTATCCTCTCCCCAACAGGTCAAGGCAGACGGCATCTCTCCCTGAAGCTTGGTTCTGCTGGAGGTTACTTCCTGTTAAAAAGGGAGTTTTTTTTGTCTGCTCAAGGGAACAGTTGGGTTTCTCTCTATAATATAATATTGTGAGGTCTTGACTTTACTATGTGAGGCGCCCTGAGGTGCCGTGAAGTCGGGTTGTATAAATAAAAAGCCAAAATTCTTCTGTGTACACTTCAAAGTTTATACATTTATCAATATCTCAACAAGGTTTTGACTTTATAGCACAACTTTAATTACTTTTGTGTGACTAACTGTACCATTCTGTGGCAATACTTTAATTATTATTAATCCTTCATAAACCTTTAAAAGGACTCAAATATTACTCCTGAACTTTACTTCATCAGGAATAAAATAGAATTCTTTCACAAACACAGCTGTGATGGAGGTTTGTCTACACAAGACAACAGGGAAGCGATGTGGGTGGTGATGAGATGCGGCGGTTAAGTCACTGATTGGATCTCCAAATATAATTTTCCATTAGAGCTCCCCTCTGCCAAGCCCAGAGGCTGCTTCATTAAGGAGATGTAATGATTCCATTCATTAACTTTGAAGTGATTTTCTGACGTTTGTTGCTGTATTCAACCCACGTGTTTTTGATTTCGACGTGGATTAGCGGCATCAATATGCAACAGGTAGGCTTTGAAGTGCAGACAATAGAGAACTGGTGGGCAATTTAATTACGAGTGGACTAGACGATACCTCATCTTTAAAAACTCACGGGCTGTTCCACATCACAACGCTTAAAAAGGTACAAACAGGGTAGATTTTAAGATTAGAGAACATTTCACAGCATCACAGGAGCTCTGTGAGGCGGAAACTAAACGATACCATCCTGATATGTAATATTTGTCATCCTACTTCAGCTTACAGCGCTCGCTAATGAGCTCTGAAAACATAGTATTTGTGATTAATATCAAAATAGAGAGGAGTCCAGAAATTTGCATGCAGACGATGCCATATTAACATGTCTGGCAAATATCTTAGCCCTGACAAACGCGCACACTCTGTCCAGCAGATAGACGTTCGTAATGAATAAAGCAAAAGATTGACAGCTCTGAGCTCATACAAGACCCTAATTTAAGTGGTTGCCATGCCAGCTTCACAGCAGTCAGTGACTCCATGTTACACCACAAGCTCTTAGAGCGGCTCTATGAATAATTCACCACCTTTAAGAGAGAAGGAGAGTCCTTGCTTGCAGCATTTTGGAAAATTTAATTCCGACATCCAGAGCTGTCAGTTTAATAAAGACACTCAACAGCTGTAACAAACAGATTCTCGCTGACTTTAAACACAATGATTGTCCTCAATGAGCCAGTTTCGGCGAACAGGAGGCAGAAAGCAGGTCAAACCTCCCACAATCCTCTGTGCTGCATCTTGTCCTCGTTTGCAATTCCAATTGAGTGCCGTTAATGATGATCCAACTAATCACTTATGATTAGAAAATCGCAGCAGAGACACAGAGATGTCACTCTGGAATCTTTTCCCAGATAGACACAGATAGAGAAGCAAAAAAAAAGAAAGAAAAAGCCTCATTTCAGTAAACCCACACCAATTATCACAGCATGTTAGAACGAAGGGTTTCAGTGACAGTGAAGCTTCAGTCGATGCTTTTACTGCTGCAGCTCAGAGGAGGAGGTAGCCGATAACCTGTTGCATCAGCGTTACACACCTGTTGCTCGGCAAACCATCAGGCCTCATTAATTTACTTCTGTGTTGTCTGTTCCTGAGGGCGGAAGAGCAGGAACAAGCAGACACACATTTAATGATCCTGACCAAACTGTACTCAGCTAATGAGAGTAACATTTGTGAGTTTTAAGCAGCAAATAAAAGTACAAAACATCCCCTTTCCTCCAACAAATAAACTCTGAACTCCCCTCCTCATAAAAGCTATTTTTCCAACTTTCTTTCACAAACAATATTGTGCGGCTAAACATTCTGAGCTGTAAACATCCTTGGAAAGCGAGCGCGCCGTCCCTGTTGCCATGCAGTGACAAATCCTGTCACAGTCCAGGTATTTTGTCAATGCCAGACTCCTGTGCAAGTGCTGATAAATTATGCAAATCGACTGGCATTGCCGCCCTGGTGTAAAAACACATCTAAAGTAGGTTACAAACCGTCTGCACTGAAATATTTCTGCAGCAGAATAGCTGCTGGGGTCAGAGTCGAGCATAAACATAAATTTAAGTGTTTGTATATTTCTGTTTATGTGTGTGTGAATAAGAAGCTCAGGAGCACCGAGCAAAGGAGCATTTGTTTTCAGACATTTTCTACATCTTTATCCACATCTCAAATCGTAACCTAGGACACGAGAAATGTGCATTAAGCTGCATTGATCTACAGCAGAAGACACTGCTGATAGAGTTTGTTTTCTTTTAACCGATTTAAGTAAAAATCAAAATTAAAAATCTAGTATCAAGCACTACGTATTGATTTTTCGCTATACGGTCTCCAGTGACGAAGCACTCGCCCTCTCAATGGAAACACAGAAAGCATCCCGACAGCTAAAACACATCCAACACAGAACTGGCAAACAACCCTACATACCATTCACTACGAAGCCGTTTATTACCGGGCATGCTAGACTGATCTTTTTTTAGTTTTGAGATAAACTACAGCCACTTAGTGTTAAAACACTGGCATGAAGCACCCGACTAAACGATCTGCAGGGTGCACACAGATTTTTATGCTTTTAATCACACGCTGTAACGAGCCAGAAGCCAATAACATCACCCTCGCACACAAAACACTGCTGAACCTTTGTGTGCTTCCTCATGTTTGATATGAACTGTGATTTTTACACATTTGCACTGGAAGAGCCACCGGCATGTAACACACACACACACACACACACACACACACACACACACACACACACGGCCAGATGGTCTCACAACTCATTTACAGCTGTGGGGAGAGAGAAAGAATTCTTGGCGTTTGGTGAGGTGGGATGGGCGAGAGGGGAGAGTCTACCCTTTAGGGGGAAGCCTGGAAGGTGTTTTGCTCGGAAACATCCCGCACAAGTCGACCCCCTCACAGGAGGCTGGGGTGGGTGGGGGGGCTTCAGGCCAAAGCATTAGCCAATTGAAACCCTGTCTTTAATGACCAGACCACCATTTACTATAATTGGTCCATTTCCTTGCAGGACCTCAAAGCCAACACACACACACACACACACACACACACACACACACACACTTGCAAAGACAGTGAGCTGCTTGTTAAAAAAAAAAAACAAGATTTACATAAATGGCTTCCCAGTTGTTTTCATTTACATAACGAAGCCGAGCAGCCTACTTGTCCCTGTCATAACCACAAACAAGATGGAAAAAAACCAAGCGA